ATTGTGGAAAGTTGTGGCGAAGGGGATCGCCAAAAGTTGTGACCCAGAGCGCCCTGAACGCGTCTTAGTAGCCAGATGCACTGAGCCTGGCCTGTGTGGATCGAACGCATGGCGAAGGAGATCGGATCGCAGGGAGCAGGTGTCTACCAGCCAGAAGATATCAGCCAGAAGACCCGTGGGAGGCAAAAGAAGGGCTTCTGGAAGGAAACAAGGAGAAGATGATTTTTATTACCGTCAGAGCAGCTCTGAGGACGACCTTTCCTGTGTTTTTGGGGTGGAATTAGATTGTGGAAAGTTGTGGCGAAGGGCATCGCCAGAAGCTGTTACCCAGGTGTCTACCAGCCAGAAGACCCGTGGAAGGTAAGAGAAAGGCTTCTGGAAGGAGATAAGAAGAAGATGATTTTTATTGACGGCAGAAGACACTGAGGGGGATCGCTGGGAGCAGGTGTCTACGAGCCAGAAAACGCGTGGGAGGTAAGAGAAGGGCTTCTGGAAGGAGGCAAAGAGAAGAGGATCGTTTCCAGCGCGATGGGTGATAATTTGGCATCATCGAGTAAGGACGAGAAGTCGCGAGTGGGCAGGAAGGGTACGAGGCGATCGGATGATGATCCTGCAGCAGCGGAAGTTCTTCGAGATGATATGACGATTGCAGGTTCCGTTGTTGGGTCCCAGTCGGAGGCAGGAGATGTTTTGACAGCAGAAGTTGAACCAGCAGCAGTTGCGACAGAGCCTAAAGACAGTTTCGCTTCGCTTTCTTAATTGCTTCATTGGACAAGTTAGTCAGATTAAATAAATATGAAGGAAATAAAAATATAGAAGATTGGGAAATTCATTTCAGATATACAAGCACCAACCCATACCTCAAATCTAAGATTGATTTGAATTTGTTGACTAATGAGGGTGTATACCCCTATGACTATATGAATTCATGGGGTAAATTTGATGAAACACAATTATCAAAGAAAGAAAATTTTTACAATCAATTATATGAAGAAAACATATTCGACGAAGATTATGCCAGAGCAAATATTGTGTGGAACATTTTAACATGAAAAATCTTGATGAATATCATGGTTTATATTTGATGATTGGTTTATTTTTGGATGATTGATGTTTTTGAAAGTTTTAGGGATATGTGCTTGAATTATTACGGATTTGACCCAGCATATTATCTCACCTTGCCTAATTATTCTTGGAATGCCTTTTTATCACTAACAGGAGTGAAATTTCAACAAATCCACATAAAAGAAATGTATGAGATGATTGAAAATGGTTAAGGGGAGGAATGACACAGTGTTCCTTTAAGAAAATAGAAGCAAACAATAAATATATGAATGAAGAATATAATAAATCTAAATCTTCATTATACATAAGTTATTTAGATGCTAATAACCTTTACAGATTAGTAATGTGTAAGAAATTGTCTTATGATGATTTTAAAGGATATTACGGCAGAATGGATGAGAAGAGGCTAATGAAATATAGTGATGATGACGCCACATGATATATATTACAAATTGATTTAGATTGTCCAAAAGAATTACATGATTTATATAAAGATTATCCATTAGCACCTGAAATCATGTGTATCAATGAGAGTATGCTTTCACAAATCCAAAAAGATATACATAAATACTATTATGGAAAAGATGCCAATAATGAAAAGACAAATAGATTAATATTAAATGTGATGGATAAAAATAAATATATGTTATATATATCAACATTGAAATTCTATTTATAGCATGGATTACGTCTTTAAAAAATATCCATCGAATTATAAGGTTCAAACAAGCAAATTTCTTAAACCCATTTATTAAATTCAACACCGAAAAGAGAAAGAATGCCAAAAATGATGTTAACAAAGATTTATTTAAAATAGTAAATAACAACGTATATAGCAAGACCATGGAAAATGTAAAAAAATATGGTGATTATAAATTAATCAATATACCTAAATGCTTCCAAAAATTGGTAAATAAATCATTATTCAAATATAGGCATATCATAAATAAAACCTCTGTAATGATTAAAAAAAGAAAAAAATAAATGCACCGTAGAACTAAACAAACCTATCTATATAGGTATATCTATTTTAAATTATTCTAAAATTCCCATGTATTCATTTTATTATAACAAGAAATTCATGAATACATTGATTTAAATATCAAAATTATAATAAAACCAATAAAAAGGTATTAGGGAAATTCAAGGATAAAATAAATGCTAAAATAATCATTAATTTTATAAGATTAAAACCAAAAATATATTACTATAAAATATATGTCTATAATCAAAAACATAAAAAATGTAAAGCAATAATAAAGCATAAAGTAAACAATTAATTAAATTATAAAATGTATAAAGAAATATTAAAAATAATTATTAAAAGAAATATATTATTAATATTAACAAAAATAAAATCATTAAATTTACAACATTAATCAAATTAAGTATATTTTAAACAATTACGATAATAAACGCTACTTATATTCAGATTTTAAAGCCTCCCATTTAAATATTATGCCATAAAATATCTACATAATAAAAATATAATTTTAAATATATAAATATAAATAAATATAATAATTAATTTTTTTAGTGTTTTTTTGGTTTTTTTCTCATTTAATATTTTTTTTCTTTATATAAAATTTTAATTTTTATGTTTTTTTAAGAATTAATATAATATTTATTTTTAATAACATTAATTATTTTGTAAATCTATTTGTTTTTATATTTATTTAATCAACCAAAAATAATTCATATCTATTATATCTTTTATTTATTCCATTTAATTTATAATAATAATATTATTTACAAAAAAAAAATATAAATAAATAAATAAAATAATTTTATAATTAATAATATTATTTTTTAAAAATAAAAAAAATAATATATATTTACTTTTAATAGTATTTTAAAAACTAAAATAATCAATAATATTTAAATTGTGATTTCAATTTATGTTATATTTTTTATAAATATATTTTTGAATTGTTATTTTATTATGATATTATTTTAGAAAATTTCTTTCAATTCATTTTTTATATATTTGTTTCCCCCCCCAAATCAATACCGCTTCAATTCGTTAAGGGGGGGAGGGGGGGGGATCTATTGATTCATTTCACACGAAGTGGGGGGGTTGGGGGCGGGCCGTTTGTAGTGATTTTTCAATTGATCCCTTCGATTTTGACCAATCTAATCGTAAACTAGAACTTCAGCTGACCTCCTTCAGAGATCGCTTTCGTGAAAAGCATGCTGCGCCTTGTCCTCAGATATTATATATCTTCCCACCAACCGAGGGGCCCAAAGGACACTTGCTTCACTGTTTCATTCATTATTCGATCGCACTGCATTGCGTGCGAGCATCTTTCCCGACAATAGATTTGTTTACAGTATCTACACGTAGATATCAATATCTGTGGTTTGCAGTCCTTCACGACAAAATGAAAGGACACTTACATGCATAGGATCCATTGCTTGAGCCGTCTTCGACAACCATCCTCTGAGCTTACTACTATCGGCACAAGCCGAGAGTAAACGAGCGAGCGAGCCAGCAAGCAAGCAAGCAAGCAGGCAAGCAAACGGCGAACAAGCAAGACTGGACCTGACGGCTATTTTTTGTCACCATCTGATTGAGCTCGACTGCAGAAATTGAAGTAGAGGTGCAACTGCTCAAAGAAGAATAGCTTCTGCAAAAGTCAGACATCAAAAATATGAGTCTCGCAAATACGCAGATCTCTCTTCCACGTAGATCAGACGTGCCTGGATCAAAGGCCTGCAAGAGCTCCAGAAAATGAAGGAAGCGAGGTCAATCATCTGCGTATGCTGAAATTCCCAACTGTTCCTTCTTCCCATCTGAAGCCCACGCTTCAAGTAAACCGTATCATTCTGAAATGAGAGGGCTTCATAAGTGGAACGGATCGGCCAAAAGTATGAAAACAAATAATTATCACCCACTTGCCTAGAATCCTACTACAATCAAAAGCCCAATCCCTTCCAACCCTACCCTCACTTTGCCATCAGCACCCTTTTGGAACAGCGTCGGCGATCATTGCTGCCGGCATCCCGACACCTGGCCACCGCTCGCTTTGGGCACATGCTCCAGCAGCAGTTTCGCCACCGAGTCATGGCCACCTTCCGCGGCACCCATCAGCGCAGTGTCACCATCATGGTCTGCAGCCTCGGCATCTGCACCATGCTCCAGCAGCAGTTTTGCTACAGAGACATGGCCACTTAGAGCAGCAAACATCAGGGCAGTGCGCCCATCCCTGCTACTGGAGCCTGCATCTGCCCTATGCTCCAGGAGCAACTCGGCAGTGGATTCGTGACCCCCCAGTGCGGCAAACATCAGCGCACTGCGTCCTTCTCTGCTGGTCGTTCCTGCATCAGCACGGTGCTCTAGGAGCAGCTTCGCAGCCGACTCATGACCAGCCAGGGCAGCAAACATCAGCGAAGTGCGCCCATCGCTGTTGGTGGCACCAGCATCTGCACGATATTCCAACAGCAACTTTGTCACAGACACGTGCCCACTTAAAGCAGCAAACATCAAGGCAGTGCGTTGATCTCCGTTAGTGGCCGCCGCATCAGCTTGAGATTCCAAAAGTAGCTTTGCAACACATACATGGCCGCTCAGAGCAGCAAACATTAGCGCTGTGGAACCATCATGATCTGCAGCATTTGCATCGGCTCCATGCTCCACCAGCACCTTTGTCACAGATAAATGTCCACCCAAAGCAGCAAACATCAGCGCAGTGGTGCCATCGTTATCAGCAGCATTCGCATCCGAGCCATGCTCTAGCAGCAGCTTCCCAACAGATTCATGACCTCCCAGCGCAGCTTCCATGAGCGCGGTGTGACCAACCTTGTTGGCAGCCCCTGCACTGGCCCCGTGCTCCAGCAGCAGTTTCGCCACAGAGACATAGCCACCTTGAGCAGCAAACATCAAAGCAGTGTGACCATCGCTGTTGGCAGCTCCAGCATCAGCACGATACTCCAACAACAACTTCGCCACTGAGTCGTGGCCTCCTTGAGCAGCCCCCATCAGTGCAGTCCCGCCTCCATGGTCAACAGCACCGACATCAGCGCCATGCTCCAGTAGCAGCTTGGCCACAGACTCCCAGCCACCCAAAGCAGCAAAGATCAGCGCTGTATGGCCCACATTGTTTGCAGCCCTGGCATCAGCACCATGATCTAAGAGTAGCTTTGCTGCGGACTCGTGGCCACCAAGAGCAGCAAACATCAGGGCAGTGCGGCCATCACTGTTTGTGGCCCCTGCCACTGTTGCACCATACTCACTGGGTTCACAGCATGATGCTGCTACAGGGTGCTGCTTGCTGCAGTTGCAGCCCATGCGACACCTGTTGTGTCACGGCGACACAGACCGCACCTTTGGCGGTTGGAACAACTGCCAACATCACAAGTTGAGACATCAATGCCGAGAGCAAAAACATCGTCAAAAATGACTTAAATATCTGCCAGACTTACCAGGTGTGCTTGACCTTACATCCCAACAACCCGGCCCGTACCTCCCATCGAAAGCCTCCCATCCAGCTCTGATCCCCATTTTGATTCGCAGGACATGCCTCATCAAGCGGGATGTCGCCAGATTCCGCAGGCCAAGTGGGACCAGGAACTTGAAGGCACCTTGGTTCATCATCTTTGCAGCGGTGGATGAGGATGGTCGAAAAAGGCATGATTTCCTGAAAATGTGCTTAACTACTACCGAGCGTGTGGGAATGACGACATCGTAAGTGTACCCTAAACAAATCAGCCACCTATATATAATATATATATATACAGTATAGTTGCCCATGTGGCTGTCAACAAATTCCCGGACAAGGAATTCGATTCGATCCCTCTCAGGAGAAAGTGCCATCTCAAGCAAACAGCCTGAGACGAAGACCTCACGGGAGCCCAGACATGTGGAGGAGTAGAACTGAAGTAGAAAGCTGCGACTTGTTGGAATTTCAGTCTGCGACTTGAGGCACTGGACATCAGTGCCGTTTTTGCCATCAGGATCTCAGCTACCCCTTACTCTCCCAAACCAAAAACGAATCCTCTAAACCTCTGTTTTTGCAAATACGATGGGGTTCAGCGTCAGCTGGCTGCAGGTCCGGTCGACCTTGGATCACTGAGAACTGATGTCTTCTGCGAGCAAGGCACCAAGGGGGAGAGCACGTCTTCTCCAGGCGAGGAAGAAAGGCCTCCATGCGACGGATTCAGGCAAAATTGGTCACACACACCAGGAACTTTGCCAAATAGTGATAATGATGATGATCATGATCATGATGACTTTAAAACAGTCACTGGGAAGGGCCGATAACTGGGATAGACCAAATACAACGTTCTACAGTAATAGATGTTACATCTGTCTCCTGCAAAGAAAAACATCCCTGCAAGGTCACATTGAACAAACCAAGCTGGTCCAGTCCTCAAGTGCGTCAGAACGGGTAGAGTCGGTCTGTCTGAATCAATACAGACTGCATGTCACTGCATGTGGTCACCAAAATCACTGCTCCGTCCCAATAGTAGGTGTCAAGAACACAGTAGGTAAGCGCTGTTCAAATCATGTATCCAGTTATGAAACCAATCAAATAAAGAGCAATGAAGAGAATTGAAAGCACATGGCTGTACAAAGAACCTCCTGTGCATTGAGAAACTGATCGACCGGCCTGTGTGTCTTCGGTAAAAAGTGGGATAGTACACTCGGACTTGCAACTGCCTGGGCGACAACGGTGATCGGCCACGCAAATGCATTCACCCCGGTCAAAGTCTCCCAAACTGAACCAGGTGAAACCTACCGCGCCAAAACCAGTGTGAGAGCTTCATACCAAACACATACAAATGACGTGAGACTCATCATCCTTTCGTGCCAGGTGCCGAACGACGTCAAGAGCTACACTCATCTTCCTGGCAGAGGAAAACTTGGCGACATTAGATTATTCACTCGGGGCACTCTGAATGCCAGGGCAAATTGGTTGGGCCATATTGGTGCCCAATTCGCAGCAATGTCGAAATTCTAAGGGGAATGGGAAAGCACTCTATCAAGCACAAGATTCTGGCAGCCTTTGAGCAATCCATGGCCTACCATACGTGCAAAAGCTGGACCAACCGTGCCTGGGAAGCCTGCACTCTTTCCCAAAATAAGACACCTGTTTCCAATCACAACTGTGTGACTGGCCGTGGGCCATGACCATCTATGTAGGGATTCCTTTTTTTCTGACCCCCCCTTTTTTTCTGACCCACAACCCCTCTTTTCTGACCCACAACCCTTCTTTTCTGACCCACAACCCTTCTTTTCTGACCC